TATTCACTCCCTTAAGAGGGACTGGGTTTTTGTTTTGTTTTGTTTTGTTTTCATAGCAATTGAGAGAAATTACTTGGCCTTGCCTCCTGGGCCATTTGAGTGAGGTTGTATTGGAATGGACTGTAGGAAGGCAGCTCCCTGTCCTGAGTGTTTTTGCTTGTTTGTTTGTTTGTTTGTTTGTTTTTCGGTTTTCAAGACAGGGTTTCTCTGTGTAACTCTGGCTGTCCTGAAATTCATTCTGGACACCAGGCTGGCTTCAAACTAGGAGATCTGCCTCTGCCCCTGCCCTGACTGTGCCTCCCAAGTACTGGGATTAAAAGCTTGTGTCACCACTGCCTAGCTGTAAATCCTTTCTTTCCCCCTTAAATAGTCCATTCATTTAGTTATCGGATACTTCCATAGTACACATCACGCTTTCTGATTAGTCCCTGACCCTTTCTTACCTCCCTCCCACCTCTGTCGCCACCCCCATGTCTCTTTCCACATCCACACCTTTCTGTTTCATTGCTACCTCTGCGTTTAACCGGTGCTATGTGGCCGGGAGTTTTGAGGTGTTCACTGGAGCCTGGTGGGTTTATCAGCTGACACACAACTGAGAAGCAATTTCTGCCCTACCCTCGGCATCCATCGGGAGCCTGGAGTGCAGCAGGAAGGGGTAAAGCTATATGGTCTCTCTGTCACCTGTGACTGATGTCTTGGGCTGGCCCACCCCTACGCACTCCCTTGCAGTCAGCACTGCTGCTTTGAGAGCATGGTTGCAAGGGCTAAGTCATACCCAGAAGATGGCATTCCATGGCCCTTCTCCCTGTCTTCTGGTCTTACATCCTTTCCGACCCCTCTTCTGAATTGTTCCCTAAGCCTTAGAGGGGGTGGTGTCAACATCCCATTTGTAACTGAGCATTCAACCAACGCTTGTTCTCAGAACCGTGAGCAACCATGTGTCTCTGCCTTTATTCATGGTAAAGGTTCTCCAAAACTGACAGACAGCCATTGTCTGTGAATATGAATGTAAATACATAGAAAGCAGTTTGGGCATTTGTGTTGATTTAGCTAAATCGCAGTAGTAAACTCCCCCAAAGACATAATACCTTTTTGACCATGGGTTTTTAACTGAGTTTGCAGTGCCAGGCATGAATTCCATCTCGTGGAGCAGGCCTCAAAGCCTATCAGAGAGCGTTTGGTTCTCCCCATAATAATCACTATTGCATTAGTTGGCACATCTTACCTGGAAAGGCTGGTAGATTAGTTCTCGGCTGGGTCAAACCGCTGATGTTTTTGCTGTAGTGGCAGCCTGCTTTGCACCTTCCTGCACTCTGAAAACCGGCCAGCAGACTCAACCTCTCAGTTCCGGTTTGATTTCTCTGTAACCTGCCTTGGAACACGTGATGTCTTCAGCAGCAGGGTCTTATCAACCGGTTCTGGTGGGCACCCAAGAGGACTAGCAAGAGGCTATAGGGCAGGGGACTCTGAGGCCTCCATGAACAGCAGCTTGTGTGGGCATGTCCGTTGGAGATTGTCTTGATTACTTTAGCGGATGTGGAAAGACCTACCCTGGTACTGTTTGGAACCCTGAACTGTGTAAGAATAGAGAAAGCTGCTAAGCAAAAAGCACGCACTCATTTATCCTCTGCTTGCTCTTTTTTTCTTTTTTTTTAAAGATTTTTGTAAAGTTTTATTTATTTATTTAAAAAATTTTAGATTTATTTATCTCATTTGTGTGACTGTTTTGCTTGCAGGTACGTATGCATGTCTGTGTGTAGTTCCACCATGCACAGGCCTTGTGCGTTCAGAGGTTAAGAGGGCACTGGAGTCCCTGGAGCTGGAGTTACAGGTGGTTGTGCGCCCCCTTGTGGGTGCTGAGAGCAGAGCACGGGCCCTTTGCAAGAGCAACCACTAGGCCGCGTCTCCAGCCTCATGCTTTGTGTTGTGTGTGTGTGTGTGTGTGTGTGTGTGTGTGTGTGTGTGTGTGTGTGCGTGCGCGCGCGCGCAGCAATGAGTGAACACATATATGTGCAAGCGCCCAGAGACGATAGAAGAGCGCTGACCCTTGGAGCTGGAATTACTGGTGTTTGTCAGCCGACCAGCTGCCGAGGTTCCTGTTTAGACTCCCCTGCAGGGATGTACTGCGGCTTGAGCTTGTGAGCTAAAGTCCACCCTTTGTTTCCCACGCTGCTTCTGCCCGACCTCTGACGTGGGAGGACGCAGCTCACTGCTCTCTGCAGGGAGAGAGAGAATAAGGCAGTGGATGAGTCAGTTCTGGGAGAAACGATATGTGACCCGAGTGTCTGCACATGTGCCTTCCGGGTGTGCGTGGAGGCGAGGTCCTGGCTGTTTTTGACTAGGGCTGCTTGCCAGGGCTGTGGTTTGATGAACAACCCCAAGAGATAAAATAACACCTACTCTACCCACACGCATAGCTAGCAACCTTGCTTACTGCTCCCTGTCTCTCTCTCTGTCTCTATCTCTGTATTTCTCTGTCTCTCTCTTTCACTCTGCCTTAATCTCTCAAAAAAAAAAAAACTATACCATGGAACTCACTCTTATGGCCTCAAACTCAGAGATCCACCTGCCTCTGCCTCTCGAGTGCTTGGATTAAAGGAGCGCCCTACCACCACCCAGCCTTATTTCACCTAGTTCTTGACAGTACCCAGTTGCCTTTGGCCATGACCTGTCACCGCACTGTGTAGACACCTGGTCTATTTCTGTGACCCTCATGGCGACTAACTCAAACTCCAAGAGTTCCCTCCAGAACAAAATTCAGGCCAAGTCACTGCCAAATGATAGGCTTCTCTAAAAGCCGTCCATCTCTGTGCCCTTCATCTTATCTCTCTGATTAAAGGGCATCATTGGCATCAACTCTGCCATCTCTACACTCCTCCTCCTGTGTCTGCCAGGACATGTTGGTCTGGGGACAGAGAGGGGTAAGGCACAGAAGTCAGGATACAGCCCATCCTGACCAAACACTTAACCTACCCCTGTGTCAGGTCTCCATCATGAATCACCAGTTATTATAGAAGCACAAAGAAGAATAAGACAGAGCCAAGAATCTGGAGTGACAGCTAGATGGTCCCGGTAAGGATGAAGGTGTCCTGCAGAAAGAGACCTTTGTGTCCCCCCCCTTCAGCCATTATACTATTGAGACATTGGGTCCCAAGGAATTGGAATGTCTCCAAAAGTCTCCTTGTGGTAGAGGAAAAAGCCAAAGCCTGGTGTGAGGCAGACAGGGAGCTTGTCTCCCAAGAAGAGACTTCACTTGGTTCCCACAACGTTCAGACCACCTCTCTGAAGAAACTGGAGCTGAGACATTGATGGATCAATGTAGGCAGGACCACACCTTGACTGGGGATTGGTTAACTGTTTAAACCTGATGCCTTTTAGTTAAGCTTCTGTCGGACACCTGAAGATGGACTGACTGTTCTTCCCAGTTGTGGCTACATTGAGCAAACCTCCTTTCTCTGCTTCAAACCATTATTATCCTCCATCCCCTAACAGGATCTCACTCTGCAGCCCTGGAAGGCCTGGAACTCTCTATGTAGACCAGGTTGGCTTCAAACTCACAGATTCTTGTCTCTGCTTCCTGAGTGCTGGAGTTAAAGGTACCTGGCTTCCTCTCATCTTGCAGATATTTTAATGTAGTTGAGTATTTGCCTACATGTATGTATATACAAGCAATACACCCATGCAATGCCTATGGAGGCTGAGTATTACAGGTGTGTGTGTGTGTGTGTGTGTGTGTGTGTGTGTGTGTGTGTGATGCATGTTCCAGGGTCATGTGCAGAGGTCAGAGGACAACTTGTGAGTCAGTTTTCTCTAGCCACTTGGGACCTGATGACTGAACTCACGTCTTCAGGCTTTGTGGTAAGTGCCTTTACCTGCTGAGGCATCTTGCTGGCCCCACTGTTTGTCTTCATCCCAGAAACACTTATCAGAATTTGTCCACTGAGACTGCCGGAACAACATGCTAAAACATGGGACATGTTGCTGGCCATGGTGGCCTCAAGTAACCAACATCTCAGCTTCCCTTAAAATTCAGTCATGGAAGGCAGAGAACCGAAGAAGAGGAGGGAAGGGTGCTGTTTTCAATGACACCAACATCTGAGACCCCCACAGGCTCATAAGTTTGAACTCTTTATTCCCAGCTGGTGAAACTGCTGTTTGGGCAGGACTAGAAGGCATGGCCTTGTTGGAGGAGGGCCGTCCCTGGGGGTGGACTCTGAGGCTTCAAAAGCCCATTCCATTCCAGTTGGCTTTCCCTCTCCCTCCTACTTTCAGATAAGGATGTGAGCTCTCAGAGACGGCTTCCCACCACGATGGTCATGGACTCACTCTCTGAAACTGTAAGCCACTAATAAACTCTTTTTTTTTTTTTCTGTAAGCTGCCTTGGTCATAATGTCTTCATAGCAATAGAAAGGTAAGGGAGAGAGCTAGGACCAGACTCAGATAAAGGAATAAAAGAAGGGGCCTACGAAAGGCAAGAGTTCTCACCTGCCCTCAGGTCTCAACTCTAAAAGTATTTAGGTGACACTAGAATGTCATGAAACACCTGGGCTGGCCATATGGCTCAGCCGGTAAAGACGTCTGTGACCAACCCAGTGTTCTGAGTACAGTCCCTGAGACGCACACGGTGGAAGGAAAGAACAAACTCTCCAGTGTTATTCTCTGACCTCTATGCCTCAAACTATGGCATTTGCACAGGTACACACGCACGCACGCACGCACGCACGCATACACTGGATAAATAAAATTTAACTTAAAAATTTGTAAATGAAAATAAAGCAGTGATAGCTGAACCTGACAACTGCTTTATTGTTTTTATCTCCATGCCACATGTTCTTGCTGAGCTACTGTCATAACCCAAGGTCATGGGCAGTCTAAGACCTTGGGGCTCTAGTCTCTGAGCAAAGGCATAGATGGGTGAGAGGGGGTTTTGCATTGTCTCCCAGTAGACAAACTTGTTTGGAACACCCCCCCCCCCACTTCCTGGAGCCCGTGTGCTTGTCTACAGCTCACTTTTGGAGAAGTGTCCTTTCATGTTTCTGGGGTTCCTTGTCAAAGCCAAGTCCACAGCCTCTTGAATGTCCTTTGCCACCCTGAGCCCTGACTTGATAGCAGTGTCAATCCATCCATGGGGCAGATCTGTGTGCTCTCCTGCGAAGAAGACCAGCCCCTCTGGCTGGCTGAGTTCCTGGGCATAGTCCACATACTGGTAAGGGGTGAAGAAGGCGAAACCACCCATGGAATAGGGGTCCTGGCTCCAGTTCTTGACTGTGAAGTAGGGGCAGAGGGCACGGAGCTCTTCTTTGTGGTGATCATGAATAGCAGCTAGGTCATCCAGAACTATGTCCAACACCCGAGTGTGGTCCAGGGCTGTAAAGAAGGTGGAGTCGTCATCCAGGGTGTAGGAGGCTAGGACGACGCCCGCGCCGTTGGGGAAGATGTGGTTGGGGTAGTAGATGAAGCGGGAAGGCCTGTCGGTGCTAGATTTGCCGCTGAAGATGCCATCTCGTTCCCAGAAGCGCTCTGTGCACGCCAGGATCACTTTGGTGGCACTGTTGTAGTGGACTGAGCGCAGAGCATCCTGCTTGCTGAGAGAGAGAGATGGCTGGAATCGGAGGAGCCGGGCAGCCTTAGCGGTGGTGGCCACCACCACGAAATCCGCAGTCAGTCTCGCCCTGGGCTGCAGAGGGTCGGGTGTCCTGTAGGTAACATGGACACAGTCTCCAGACATCTCCACTCCCTCTGCTGGTGAGTGGAACCAGACAGTCCCTGGGAGGAGTGAATTGTGCAGGGCCTGGGGGAGCTGGTCAAAGCCCCCAACGATTTCATCAAACCTAGGAGCGAACAAGGAGAGAGGGAAACGAGTGAGTAGATGGACAGGGCCTTCAGAGGACAGGCTGTTGGAACCAGACAGTGGCTCAGCCCCCTTTTCAGGCATGTCCCAGCCATGTTTCAGAGGCATAAGTAGTTGTCAACGAACCCAGACCAAGCAGAGCGTCTGTTAGCTCCAGGGAGCTAGGGAAAGGTGCAGCCTTTGGGGTGACTAATCTGAAAAATGCTCACACACGCTCCTCCTCTGGGTCATTTATCTCCTATCACCACCCAGGATGCCTGGTCCTAGGCTAGCAAAGACCAGAACTGAACTTCTGATCCTCCTGCTTTCACCTCCCAGGGGCTGGGGTTTGCTTCAATTCACCTGTCCTTGAGCCTATTTTTTTTCCCCCCACCAAACCAGTTCCTCTTTATCTTTTCGTTGTGGTTGTTGTTTGAGACAAGATGGGCCCGGAACTCGGGGTGCTCCTGCCCTCACCTCCTAAATGCTGGCATTACTGTTGTGCACCGCCTTGCCTGGCGCCTTTTTATCTTTATAGTTATAGATCACATGGTCAGTGACCAGTGGTGACTGGAGTCTCAGGTTTGCATCCCAGATAAGTCTTTCTCGGCTACAAGATGACAAGTATCCCATGAATCAGGGCTGAGGCCGCAGTTCCTGTCACAGGACAGACGAGGCTCACAGCAATGCACTCTTGTGTTCTCAGAGTGGTCTAACGTCCTCAGAGCGTGGTTCCATGGTAGACAGCCTATCGGAAAGCATGTCTCCGGGGTCTACCCTAGGTGTTTAACACCCCCTGTTTACTCCAGTGAATAAGATTTCTTGGAATCAGGATTCCTGCCTTTTTTTTTTTTTTTTTTTTTTGAGACTAGCCTTAAACTCACAGAGATCCTCTAGCCTTTGCCTCCCAAGTGGGATTAAAGGTTCACAGCCCCACCCCTGGCTTGCCATTTTGGGGAGTTTTTCTCCAGGTTTCTTAGCCCCTTTCTTTCACTGTGATCCTCATCAGTAACTAGCAACCCCACTCCTCACCGGGGCTCCTGGAAGAAGGAGATGATCCCACGCAGGGTCTCTGTAAAGGCCTCGTAGTAGCCGGAGTCTGTGTTCAGCAGGTCGCCGATCATTTGCACAGCCCCTCGGCTCAGGTTCCCCACCTTGATCAGATACTCCTGTTTGCACGTGTGAGGAAATGAGGCAAGCAGATAAGAAGGTACAAGTTGCTAACAGGTTAAGCTCCTGTTTTCTACCCAGGCACAGCAAGGAACAGTCTTGGACAGGGTGGAAGGATGGGTGTTCACCCTCTGGGCCCCAAGGCTGCCTTGCACATATGTCCAAACAGGATACCCGTGGTCAATCATACATGGAAAATATCTAACACTAGGTAGAGTTTTCAGCCTACGGACTCTCTTTTTAGCATTTCATTCATGCAATCCTCTCATATAATGACAAGGATTCCTGCTCTGTAGATAGGAAAGCTAAGGCCCAGTCTCCATGTCCATCCATGTGGGCCCATCCTGGCTTCTGGGAAGAGTCTGAGTACCAAAAACTTCTCATCTTGCCCTGACGTCACCTGCTTACCCAGCCACTTCATCAGCAAGTGACCTCAGAGCTGGCTCCTGGTATACCTGTTGCCCTGGTTGTGCCCTACGCTTTGTCTCTGCTCATTGTCTCAGATAAAGCCAACATGGATGGACATAACAAATCTGTCTGGAATGGCTTCACCAGTTAGAGTGGGTGACTGTCCAGTTTGCCTGGGGGCTGAGTTGGTCCCTGTCACACTAGCACCGGCAGGGCTAGGGGCCAAGCACTGAAAGATGGCCAGATACCGCTTGCTGGGGGGAAAATGCCTCTATTCATCATACTTGGTTAAACCAGAGGTAAAAACCACAAGGCCACGCAATCCTAGAGGCAGCAACCCCAGGGTGCCTGAAGGCATACTGGGTCTGTTAGGGCCATCAACCTCAAGGCTCAGAGAGGCTATCTCTGCCCCAAGTCTGAGGGCCTGTCACAGTGGCTGTGGGTCCTGACAGCCTCTGGCTTGTCCTTATTCTCTAACTTCCTTCTCTCTTTTCTTCACAGCAAGGCCTTGAGTAGGCAGTGGTCAGACCACAAATACCAACAAGCTTTGATCCACCCAACATCTGAGGCAAGCAGCCCGCAGAGGCAAACTACAGCCTACCTAGAATGGTCAGGACCTGAAAGTGACTATCAGCGTCTATCTCAGAACCGGTTGGCAAATATACCTGCTACCCTCCACTTGCCAGGCCCATGGGTGAGTTGGCTCCAGCACCCACGGGCCAGTATCCTCCAGGTGGACCACATCAGGAACCTTCCTTGTGTCTTCATATCTGCAGTGCTAGAGACTGAAGCTAGGACCTCGCACGGGACAGATTAGCTCTTACTCCCGGGGGCTATACCCGTGGCCCCAGCCTTTCCTGCTTTTCACTGTCGTCATGTGTTATGAAAGATGTTTTCATCAGTGGTGATATATAACAATGGTCCCCAGCGAGTATGTAGCCCAGTGACACTGCAGCCATCTTGGTCCATGCAAGGAAGCCTTGTTATTTTTGCAGAACTCTGTAATCATCTAATGGTACATTCTGAGACACTAAACCCTTGTAAAGCAACATGCACCTAGCTAAGGCTTCCCACACTTCTGTCTGCCGTAGACTCTGCAGTATTATGGATGACTCCCTTGACAGAGCAAGCTCTGAAGAAGTAGCCTGGCTTGCCCTCCTTGGAGTAGTCTCTGTTTAATTCCTTCCATCCATCCTTTCTTCCCTCTCCTCCTCCCCTCTCCCTTCCTCCCCTCACGTTCTATCAGAGCAGACAGTGAAGCTAGATACGTGTAGCACAATAAGGTCCAGGTGACACTCCCACTGGGGTGGTTTCAGGGCACAATAGGATATCAGGGCTCAGGACTGACCTTGGTGGAGAAGGAGTCATACTTCTCCAGGACCTCACGGCAGCTGCTGTTCTTCAGCTCTTCCACAATCTCAGTGGGGAGGAGGACAGGAAGGACAGGTGGTGAGGGTCAGCTCAGACATATTGTCAATCCTGCCTCATCCATCCAAATGCACCATGCTATTCAACAGCATGTGTGTGTATCCTGGGTTCCAGGACTGCCTCCTAAACCTGGGATGGTGGGACTCTCACCTCCCCTTGAATAGACATCAGGTATACAAAGGTAGGTGTCCAGGCTCCTCTGTCAACCTTGAGGTTTCTATATATGAGGAGTCTACCTCCTTGTCCTGCGTTGACATTTCTGTAGACTTCTGAGCAACTGTGAAGCACGTAGGTGCCAGAGAGCTCCACGACGCTGCTGAGAGGTTAGACATGCCCACACTGAGTGAGCCACGGCAGGACAGCACTAAAGGACACCTGAGCTCAATTGTCATACTGATGTCACTCCAGGCCATGGGTCAGAGGAGACAAAGGTATTGTCACTGCTGGGCCAGGCAGAAAAAGTGGACAGGCAGTCCAGACAGAGCGCTTGCTGTTCCCCCACAAACTGACAATCATGATGACAACTGTAGTTTGAACACTGGTCCTGTACCTATCACCATTTTATCACTTTAACACATCCTGTTCCCTAATCCTCACAGCAATCTGGGAACAAGAGGCTCTGGAAATATGGAGAGGAGAGAAGGGAGCCAGCAAGTCTTTTGCATGGGGTCACACAACATATCTAAACTCAGAGTCCGGCTTGTAAGTCTCTTTCTACAATGAGCCTAGTCCCACCATAATGATTTCACGGTAGCTACTCTGTACATGTCTGTGTATGCACAGGTGTCTGGAGTCTGAGAAGACACAGCCTACAGAGACAGTGGCTGACACAGGACAGAGTTACGAGGGGAGGGTGAGGCCAACAATGCCCAACCTGGTGTAGGCTTCCTGCACTCATGGATCTAAGGTTCACTCAAAGCTCCTCCCTGGCAAATCAGAGGAACCTGAGGGTGTTCATGCAGGGTGGCCCTGAGGGAAAAGGGAGGCTGCTCCCCACTCGGCCTTACCTTCCTCAGTGATTCATCAAAAAGCTGCTCTGCCGTCTTCCCCACCTCATCTGCTCTTACTGAGTAACCCAGGAGGCCAGGGTCAGCCTGCACTGCCCCTGAGCGCTGCCGAACTCCATTGACCAGCACCCAGGTCTGGTTGTTGCAAGGGCAGAATTCCTTCAGCATCAGCCCAAATTTCCTGATGAGCTCATGGGAAAGCCTGTAAAAAGAGCCAGAGGCTTTTCAAGGCCCTGAAAGCCAACAGGAAGCCTCCTGCTTCCTCGGCTTACTTCCCACCTCCCTTAGATTCACCAAGACCACCCCTGGAACGTTCTCCACGAAAGGGATGCTAGGCGCCCTGGTCATCACATTAGACCAGAAGCCATGAGGCCAAGGGGGAACTAGACCCCCTACTAGTGACTTTCTATGCTGGCTGAGATCTCTGCCACTTTGTGTGGAAGCTGCGACCTTCACATTTTCATGGGCAAACACCCCAATTCTTGGAGGCACAGTGGGGAGTGTCCTTGGAGTGTTTCCTTGGAGCCATCCTTCCTGGAGGCTACCTTCACCACTCCTGAGCCTTCTGGCTGCGGTCTCCCTAACCTCTCACCCATTTTGATCATTTGCAAACTCAGCTTTTGACATTCCGACAGGTTTATCTCGGACCACCCATCTTCTGTGATCCTCAGCCCAGCCTCCTTGGCAGTCAAACCGACACAGTTATCGTCTTGCATGGATTAAACACTGAAGCTGGGAGAGGCTCCGAGGCTGCCCTGGGGCTAGGAAATGAGTTGTGTCAGACCCTAACCCCTGGGCTTCCAGGCAAGATCTCCATCCAGTGCTGTCTGCATTGGCCTCTTGGTATGGCAGTCCTCATCCTGCCCTTCCTCCTTGGCCACTACGGTTCACAGCAGTACCTGTGATTGATAGGGATCCTCATGGCACCCAGCTCTATGTACCAGTGTGCTCCAGGAACTCTGTGGGTCTCGATTCTTCCGCCCACACGGCCCGAGGCCTCCAGGACGGTCACCTGGAAAGACAGCTCTTTAATGACTTCAGCGAGGCTCCACACGACGTCCTCCTCCCCTGCCGCAGATCCAGACACGCTGCCCTCCCCAGTCCTCCTTCTCTCCCTCCCTCCATCCCTCCTTCTATTCCCTCCTTCCTTCTTTCCCTTCTTTTTCAGGGCTGAGGATGGGAACCACAGGCTGTTCCTCACTCTATCAGTAAGCTACGGCGCTCCTGTCTTCCTGCCTCCTCCTGAAACTTTCTCCTGGTTACTAAGTAAGCTGCCCTCCTACCCCAGCTGCCCTAGAGCCCCAGAGCTTCATTTTGGCCCCAGCTCCCCAGAGATGTCCACAGCTTGGTTTTCTGTCTCCATATTTAGAGCCCAGTCTTCCCACAAGCAATCCCCCACCCCTCGGGCCCATCACATACCTGGTGGCCAGCATCCTGCAAGATCTTGGCAGCGGTGAGCCCAGCCATGCCTGCCCCAATCACCACCACTTGTTTCCTCTCTGCTGTCTGCCCCAGTCCATTTCGAGCCAGCTGCAGCAGCTCTTCATAGTGGGGATCCTCAAAGCACTTGACAAGCTGGCTGTTGAAGGCCTGGGTACCCAAGCTCAGCACAGACAAGAGGGCGAGAGCCAGCCAGCCTGGGAACATAGCTGTGGATATGGCAGTTAGGCAAATGGCTGGGGATGAAGGACTGGCCATAACCCTTGATCCAAGGAAGATTTATCACTGGACCTGTGATGCAACATTCTAGGCCCTCCCCTACCAAAGAGCACCTTAGTCATGGGTCCTCCCAAGACAACCTACCACTCTTCCTGCTGGCCCACAAATGCCCCTCGGGGTACCAAAGCCTCTCACTCAGGGAGTGGCACAGGATGTGTGTCTGCCCAAGGTGTCTTCCTTCCCCTCAGTCAGTGGGACTGCCACGCACACAGAGGAGGTAGTCCATTTTCCATTTCCACAGGATTTGAGGTGGCTAGACTGTATGCAGTGAGAAGCCCCTCGACTCAGCACCGCTTCGGAAGACAAAGGAGTGGGAAACCTGAAGCCTTATGTAACGAAGCAGAAGTCCCAGAGCCATGAGCAATAGGTTCCCAGGTTCCCAGGTTCCCAAGCCCCAGAACATCACCACAGGATTGCCTCTCAGAGATGGGCATGGCTCTTTGAAGTTAGAGTTTGTCCTGCAGTTAGCCTGTGTGTCCACACTTCTCTTCTGATGAGCTTCTATTAATTCCAGCTCAGCTGTGGGGAAGGCAGACCACACCTTCCCCGTGGAATGCCATCAAAAGTGTGTGTTTTGTGGCAGCTGAGATCTTGTTTTCAAAGCTATTGTCTGTGCTATGGGACAAATTGAGTCTTCCCGAAGCTCATACGCTAAGGCTTTAACCCACAACATCTTACAATGCAACTCTATTTAGGGATGGTGGCCTTTGAGAAGGCGACTGAGTTAAGGTGGAGCTGCGAGGTAGGTCCTCCTACAATGTGATATCCTCATAAGAAGAGGAGGTGTGTCGGCCAGGGGCCCTAAAGGAGAGCGAGAGCCTCTTTCCTAAACTGGTATAATTTGTAACTGCATCCTAAATGCTTATCATTATACCCACAGATAAGTGTGGTTCTCATCCCCCAACAAAGAAGGTTCTTTTTGCATCAGACAGAGACCATTACAGAAAGCTGCAACTGGCCAAAATGCAGAGAACTGACTGTTACGTGCCCAGCCTGAGACATCTAGAATGCAATCCCTACAATGACGGCTCAAGGAACATTGAGGAAGAGGGGGTAGAAAGAGCGTAGGAGCCATAGTCTCTTCAAAAGAAGGAAGGAAGGAAGGAAGGAAGGAAGGAAGGAAGGAAGGAAGGAAGGAAGGAAGGAAAGAAAAGGGATAGGGAAGAGAAGGTGGGTCTGGGAAGTAAGTGGGAGGAGTTGGAGGTATAGATGATCAAGGTACATAAAATTCTCAAAAAGGTAAATAATAATAGTATATTAATAAAAGGAAGAGGAGGGGCGTGCGAAGACTGATGCACCAACCAAGGACATTGCATGGAGAAGACCTAGGCCCCCTGCTCAGATGTAGCCCATATGCAGCTCAGTCTCCATGTGAGACTAGGGGCTGGTAAGGGGCTGTCCCTGACATGAACTTTGTTGCTTGCTCTTAGATCACTTCTGCCTGATGGGACAGCCTTGCCAGGGCCACAGAGGAAAAGGATTCAGCCTGAAGAGAACCGATAGTCTGGGGTCAGTTAGTAAGGGAGGAAGGCTCCCACTTTTTAAGGACTAGGGGATTGGGATGGGGGCGGGAGGAGGAGAAGGAGGGAGGATGGAACCAGGAGGAGATGAGGGATGGGGCTACAACTGAGGTGTAAAATACATAAATTAATAAAATAAACAACAGAAAAGGCAGAGGAGATGTGAACAGCAAGGGAAACATCAGAGATGCCCACACAGAAAGGCAATGCCCGTGAGGATATGAGGAGAAAGCCTTGAGAGAACAAACCCACCAGCAGTATCTTCGTTGAGACATCCATCCATGTACTCTATGGAACTTCCTTACACAGTCTGAGCTGACTAAGATACCCTGTTCCTCTGCATCTTTCCCCATGTCAGTGAAGGAAAGCTAGATTGGGCACCTTTCTCCAAGAACGTAGTTTGCCACTAAACACGTAGTAGCATTATGCAAGGTGGAAGCCGAGGGATTGTCACCTGTGTGTGACTGATTGCTCTCTCACCCTCACGCCACCCACCACCATGACCCCGGGTTCCTGTTCAATATTCATACTGGGAACGTTTGATAATTGCTCAACCTGTCCTATTCAGCTTGAATCAGAATCAATCCCATTTGCACTGAGCATGGCTCCTAGAAGCTCAACGAACAGTTGAGAAATACGAGTGTGGAGGAATGAACAGACAGGGATACAATGGATTAAGGTGTGGATGTGTAGACACAGGAAAGGCTACATGGATGGAGGTTTTCCTCCAGCCTCTGGAGTCATCACAGATACCAGGCCTGGGACCAGGGGCCAGGCTTTCCTCTGGACTTGTTGCTCATCCTTCAACTCACCCTTACAACCTGCTCCTGTCTGCTTTCCTAGGGCCTACCCTAGTCTGCAGACTCCATCTGTGAACCTGCACTTGGCATCTGGATTTTTAATTATTTTTGAGGAATGAACACACACACACATACCATCACCATCACCAGAATCTGGCCTTCTTTCCACAACGTGGATTCACCATTTCTTCATTAGTCCAGGAATGGGAACTAGTACTAAGGAAGTGGATTCTAACTGGTTTTGAAACCAGAAGTCATGGGTTTCCCCTCTTTGCTCCCTGGTGCTGTACTCATTTGCATTTATTCATTGTACCTAAGAGCATGATTCAATATGATACTTTAACACACTCATGTGGTATGTGTCTATCACCTTAACTGTATTGCTGGAAAATGGTGCTTGAAATTATCAGCAAGCCCTTTAAAGAGGCTGGGCCTTCCGGGAAGCACAACTGTCTTAAGCTGAGTCGGGGAAGGTTGCACTGTGATGCTCTCATCTTCCTGCCAGTCGCCCTGCTCTGGAGAGCCATGCCAAAAGGATGACTACAGAGCAGAGCAGAGGAGAGAGAACAAAGCATCTTTGAGCTTCAGGAGCTGTCAAAACAACCCACAGTTCCCAACTACATGCAGAAAACAAAAACAAAAAAAACGGAGCCAAGAATTTTGTGGTGGCCCAGGCAACCACAGGCATTTACCATACAAGGTCCAGACCCACAGCCCTAGCGTCCCTCCACCCGCCCTTTGCTTTAAACAGTGGCTGTGACCTGTGTTTGTGGTGGGGTGACCACTGAGAAACCCAGGTGTCTGCTGGAGTCAGGCGCCATATTTGCCCTGTCCATCCTGCAGGGACCCTAAGCCTTGTGTGGCCACAGAAACACTGTGGACATGTGTGTAACTTTGTTGGAAGAATGAATAAAATCTGCAAGTGAGGAACAGGAACATGGAAATCTCACATCCTGAATCTATTTGTTTATTTGAGATAAGACCTCACTCAAAGCAGCTCAGGCTGGCCTGGAATTTACTACATGAGACCCTGGATCAAAAAAAAAAAAAAAAAAAAGACAAGAAAAAGAAAAAAGAAATTGCCAATGAGCTAAATGTCTGAGGTGGCCCTGTACTCCAAAGACAAAGGCACATAGATCTCTGAGTTTGAGGCCAGCCTGGTCTATAGATGAGGTTCAGAGCTGCACAGAAAACCCTGTCTTGAAAAACAAAACAAAACAAACAAATCTACCAAGGACCAAGGTAGTGCACACCTTTAATCCCAGCACTCAGGAGTCAGAGGCAGGCAGAGCTCAGAGTCTGAGCCTAGTCTGCAGAGGGACTTCCAAGACAGCCAGGGCTACACGGAGAAACCCTGTCTCAAAAGACCAACAACAAAAATCTCCCAAGGCGGAGTTGGAGAGACGGCTCCTCAGTTAGAGCACTGGCTGCTCTGTAGAGGTCCTAGGTTCAGTTCCCGGAACCCAGTTGGGGCTTACCACCATCTGTAACTCCAGTTCCAGAGGGTCCAATACCCTATTCCGGACACACATACGGTACACAGACATACATGCAAGCAAAACACTCATATACATATATAATGTATATGTCTGTATGTGTGTGCATTTTTAAAAAATATTTTAAAGGAGAAAGAAGGAAAGAAAAGGTTCTAATGTTTACAATAAGCTAACTATCGGCCAGCCTAATGAATACATTCATGTTTGTTTACTGAGACAGGCTCTCAGGTAGCTGAAGCGAGCCTTACACTCAGAGTGGCTAACGCTGGCCTTGAATTCCTTACCCTCCTGACTGTACCTCCCGAATGCTGGGTGTAGGAGCCCGACTCTACCAGTTTTTGTTTAATTTTGAGATAGAGTCTTCCTATGTACCATGGACTAACCTTGAACTCTCCATCCTCCTGCCTCAGCCTCCCAAGAGATAGGGCCACAGCATTTACCACCCACTGCGCCTGGCTCTCTTGTATCTTTTTAAAGAGCAAGAGGAGGGGACTTTGAAGAGATACTGAACAATAATAGTTGTGCAAATGGATGAAAACACCACCTCCTGCCCTGTGATTACCCACTGTATTATGTACTAAATTATCACACTGTGCTCCATGAATGTGTGTGATCATTATGTGCAATTAAAGAGAAAAAAAGTAGAGCTGGGCATGGTGATGAACACCTGTATCCCAGCACTTGGGAGGTGGAGGAGCATCAGGGACTCAAGGTCCTCAGCTACAGTTTGAGCCCATCAGGGAATACAGGAGACCCTGTCTTGAAACCTAAAACAAAACAAATAAATTAAATAAAAAACAACCCTGTCCCTTCGTCTACTGCAGAATACACCTGTCAGGTGATTTCATTTCTGTTATTGGTTTGTAAAACCAAGTCACCATGGGCTGGGGCACAGCACTGGGCTGTGGAGACGATAAAGAAAGCATGAAGGTAGTCCAGAGCCCTGGCCCAGCAGGCTCCCTCCGGGTTCTCACAGACACCCAGCATGGATGGATGCCAGGTCTCCAGGGGGATCACACACAAACATGCACTCTCCACACCCAGGCTCCATTCCCCTGGCCTCTCACTAGGGGCTTAAGGATTCCTTCCACAAGTTGTTGGCCAGAAACCTTGGGAGAGAGTTGAACCTTCCTAAGTCTCTGTGTGTGTGCTCAGCGCTGCTTCCTTAGAGCCATTCACCTCAGGATCTACCCCTTCCTCACTCCCATTCCCTACTGCTTCCATCATCTGCCCTGAGGGGCCTTATGACTCTGTCTGTCTGTCTCTGCCTGTCTGTCTGTATCTCTCCTTTTCTCTTCTCTTCCTTCTAGTCATCGTTCTCCCTCCTATCTTCTTCCCTTTTCCTTTTTTCAGACAGTGGGGTGGGCGGAGGGGGTGTCTCACTACGTAGCCCAGGCTAATTGTGTATCTCAGACTGGCTTCAAACCCTCCGTCATCCTTCCCCTTCTCTTAGGTTTCCTTTTGCTGAAAGAGTCACCTCCTCTTCTTCCTTCCTCCAGCGCCCCAGGGCACTCAGAACAGAAACTCCATTGCTGTGTCTGCTTCCTGCTTGGTGAGCCCCTGGTGTGTGCTGTTCTTCTGACACGCCTCTAGCTTCCAGGACTTGAGCCTTTTTTTTTTTTTTTTCTTTTTCCTATCGCCCTCCTGGGAGCTGTCACCCTTCCCCGTCCCTCCCTTTGTGGGATGGAGAGGGTTGGAGGAGTGGTGGAACCCGTGTGAAGGCTGCTGTACCTGCAGTCTCACCTGCAGGAGGAGCGAGCCTGGACCTGATGGAAAGCAGCTGCGGATGAAGAGAGCGAGTCCAACAAGGCACGGGCAGCTGCCGCCCGGGGAACAGCCTCACTCTGGCTGTCTGAAATCTAGAGCCCACAGGGCTCCTGGAGCCTGACCCCCATCCAGCAAGAACATCGCCAGATTCTGGGTGTAGGCACCTCAAATCCCATCTCGTGGTACCCCAATTTACCCTATTTCATGCTCATTAATCAGACGTATCTACAACAGGAGGGCATCATCAGAGACAGACGGTACCAGTCAGATGACGTCGGAGCAGGTGGCTTCTTTGGGCGACCTGAGTGTCTCCAAAGAACCTCAGCAACAGCATGGACCGGAAAGTCGGATGGGACTCCTATACCGACTCCCCGCTTGCATGGTGTTTAAAAAGGACAGAACTGAGCAATGGAGGTAAAGTGACCGTCAGGGGCTCAACCCTGTCACCCCTGTACCCTAGGGGCTGAAGCTGCAGGCTCTGCGTGAGCTTGAGGTTGGCGTGAGCTGCACAGCGAGTTCCAGACCAGCTGGGCTAAGGGTGCCTCTGTCTCCAACAGCGACAGCGCAAGCTGTCACAGCGCCGATCTCTGGACAGTGTCGCCCGGGGGCCAGACACAGGACACCTTCGTGGGCCTACTAGAAACTCTCCACAACGTCACCCGAGTGCTGGTCACATGAGTGTCACCAGGCTAGAGCTTGATGCAGGTTAGTCCGTGCGCTATAAAAATGTCATAAGCCAGTTCTAAACCGTTAAAGTGAGCTTCACCCTAACATTAAAGTTGCATTTCTGAACCTCTTTGAGGTGGTGGCTCAGGCAGCGTAGGCTGGCTCCAAACTTACTCCATAGCTAAGGTGGCCCTTAAACTCCCAATCCCCCTGCCTCTGGATCTTGAGTGCTCAAGTAGAAATGTACATACTTGGCTTGAAATGTGTTTTTATTTTCAGGGACTGAGTTGACGACTCAGTCTGTAAGAATGTTTGCTTGAGGTTCTGGGTACAAATGCAAGGCACCCACGTGAAAAGCTAGATGGGGCTACATGCACCCATGACCCCAGTGTTATAGAGAGCGACTCACTGGGGCTCTCTGGCTGGATTCCAGCTGCAGGTTCTGGGGGAGACACTGTTTCAAGGTAGTAAAATGGAACCTGATAGCTCAGCATAATCAACAGCCTCCTCTGGCCTCCACACCTAAGCACACACACACACACACACACACACACCTATCCCCCACACACAAACATGCACAACACACACACATACATTTTCCTAGGTTCAAAAAAATTTTTTTGGGGGGGAGGGTAATACTAGTACTTGGGAGATGTATTGGTTAGTTTTTATGTCTTCTAGAGACATGCCACCCGAGAAGAGGGAACTTCATCTGAGGAAATGCCTCCATCAGATTGGTCTGTAGGCAAGCCTGTGGGGGCATTTTCTTAACTGATGACAGGTGTAAGAGGGCTCAGCATATGGTGGGCGGTGCCACCCGTGTGCAGGTGGTCTTGGGTTGTATAAGAAAGCTGACTGGGCAAGCTATTGGAAGCAAGCCTGTAAGCAACATTCTTCCACAGCTTCAGTTCCTGTCTCCGGGTTCCTGCCTTGACCTTCCGTATAAACTGATGACGTGACCACTATGTGGTGTGGTTAATGGGAAGGTTTTTTTGTTTTTGTTTTTGTTTTTGTTTTTTCCTTTATAGATATAAGAGAAAGAACAACCAGAGGCATCTGAAGGACTCCAGAGCAGAGAGAACAAGAAGCACACTGAACAAGTGCGCTCCTGAACACGGCCAGCAGACTGGACCTGGCCAGGGCTATCTGTGAGAGAGGGAAGAGTAGCAGGGTATAGCGACTAGAGAAGACATGAGAAGTGGGAGCGAAACAGAGAGGAGAGGAGGGCACAAAGCAGGAATAGCAGGGGTATAAGGAGACTGAGTAGCTGGAGGGAATTTAGAGTAGAGGAAGAAGTGAAAAGGGCTGGGATGCTAGCGGGGACTCTGAAATGTGTGACAGGTACTTGTTACACTGAGGGAGCCTGGAAGCCAGCATGTGTGTCATAGGCACACAGGTAGCCATCCCTCCCTTCTGTCAGAGGTAAGAAAAGTTACAACTTTTGGTAGTATGGGAACCAGTTTCACAAGTTTCTGTGGGATGCTGGCTTTTACCTAACTGCCAGAAATCTTCCTGTAGTCTAGGTGAGCTCACTTCTAGTTATCCGGGCTGACTTTTAGGGTTTGGGGAACTGGACTTTCCTTTGGACCTAACGCTCTCCTCAATGATGGTTCTAAGTTTTGTAAGCTGAAAGAACCCCTTTCTTCCCCAAACACACAAACACATGCACGCACGTGAATACATACAGGTAACAAGACAATGGTAGAAGAAAAGTAAAATATAATTGAGCAGAATGTCAGGAGGGGCCAAGATGCCTCTAGTGTGAACTGGGATGCTTTTGGTGTGAACTGGGGTGTGTTTTGAGGCAAGGAATTGTCTTCATGCCAGGGTTAACGTTCTGTTCATCACTTATAACATGAAGGAGACCACATCTGCTATGGGCTTTTGCCCTAGATTCCATGTGTAGAAGGGATTATGCTTCCCTGAGGATGCAGAATCTGGCCAACAGAGATAGGCACAAATAGGGAACAGTGTAGCAAGTCAAGGCTCCACCTGTGCCAGCCTGAATGTATACCTCATTTAAGCAATGAAAATTCCTCTCCTTTGCCAAGCCTTGATAATTTCCCATTTTTTAATCAAACATAGCCTAGAACATATCCTGCAGCCAAGAGATATAGGCTGAGCTGTCCTAGACCAGTTTTGGGTAACATGCACAATAAGGGAAACTGTGTTCCCTGGGTGATCTTTTGGGAGGAACTCCCCGTTTACCCTTGCATGCATAACTGGACATAAATATGATTCAAATCAGATGCATTAAGGGAAAGGATGTGCATAGTGAGCACAGGCTTACATACCCAAGCCTGTCAATCAAAAAGAGAACCACCCAAGCAACTGAACTCCTTCTCCTCCTGAACCACCTAAAAGGAAAGCCGCAAAGAGTGGCCAGGGCCCTCGAGTACTCTCCCTCGTGTGCCCCAACGCTCTCTCAAGGCACATTCTGACCTGCTTTATCACTTTGCTTTGCACAAAGTCCTCACCACTTTTGCTAATCTGTGTGTGTCTTTATTTCATTTTTTTTTTTTAAAAAAAATAAGATTCCATGAACCTGGAAACTCCTAGACTAGACTCTGACCACCAGTGACAAAGAGATGTCTGAAGGGCCCCAGCGTGTGCTTGGAAGATTGGCATGGGTCTCCTTTGGCACCTCCTGTGTCTGCCTCTGCACCCACTCCACAGGCCATATGGGAATCACCTGTGCCCTGCACACAGAAAGGGACTGTGACAGCACAGAGCCCAGCGTCCCCCTGTGGAGCTGCTCCCTGCCCTGCCCCTGGACACACTCAGTCAGGTAAGGCACAGCAGGTCATTATGTGGGTCAGGAGTCTGGCCCTGCACTGTATGTATGACACAGAAGCTCAAAAACATCACGACGGATGCGGTGGGGATGACAGGAAATCATGCAGGGAACTAAGAAGGGAGAGAGAATTGAAACCCAGGGAAACAGAGTTGCCCCCAAAACAGCTGGGGTTAGGAGAACACACAGCTCACACCTTTTGCTCAGTTTCAGACCCAATTACTACACATACACACAAACCCACATAGTTTGTATATAACACACAATACACATATGACACATATTATATATAACACACACAGCACACATCCATAACACAACACAGAAAATACAAAACACACACACACACACACATACACACACACACACACACACCTTCCTCCCTGGAGTCACCCTGGACCACTTCACTCCTATAAAATAGCAGAAGGAATGGGACCATCCTTACTGAAGTGAGGGCTCACCCCAGAAGAACCCTCACTAGGCTGTATCCTGATTCCTGCCTAGTTACTACCAAGAAATTAGTCTTAGGTTGTTGTGTCCAGGCAAAAGGGGACCTGAGACAGGCAGAGGAGGCAAGCATACCCTTCTAGGGCGGCAGACAAGCTAGGAGAGATGTCATTTCTAGGGTCTTCCATCCTGGGTAAGAAGGCCAGGGCTTACATACCTGGGAGCCTGCCTGGGGCTGGTAGCATCCATGTCCACAGAGCCAGAGCCTGGGCAAGTTGTCAGTGTTGAGGAGGGTGAATGGAGATCAGAGTCTGGACCAGGAAGTGGCCATCTGTGGTCCTCGGGTCATGAGTCCATGGCTCTGGCCTCAATGAAACTGGGCTCCCTTGGCTTTTCCCTGACCTCCAGGTCTGCTGACAGACCCAGCCAGAGAAGTTTGGAGAGGAACAGGAAAGAGGGAAGGATCAGATCAGATGTATATTCCTCTGTGTGACATCCAGGGCAATGTTCTCATCCTGACGCAAGAAGAGGCATGGTGCAAGAGGGTGTGCCCATCAGTGGCTCAGCAAGACCTGGCACCTCCGCCACTGGGCGGGGGTAGGCCCCGAGCTCTGCCTCCCACCATCAGTGACCCAGCTCCTGGGCTCTGTGTCCTCAGGTCCTGCAAGGAGTGAACTCTGGCGACTCGATGTGACCGTGGGCTTGTAGCATCTGTGCTTCCGTCTCCACCTTCGCACCTGGTCTCTCCCTTCTCGGAGCTGCATAAGGAGGAGAAAGTGCCAACATGACTAGCAATTTTGAGGTATCTTCTTGGAAAAGAGTCTGCTGGGTGGAGGGGGCTATAGCCTGAGCTTGCTCTCCACCTCCAATTGCCCCATGACCCAGAGGTCTGCCTCCTCTGCCCTTTTACCCAGAGCTATCCTCTCATGGTAGGTGTGGTGTTAGCAGCCATGGGGGTTGTGGGACATGTGGGATTTCCCACCAGGGAAATCGGCATGGAGCTAGAGCAAGGTCCAGACATGTCCAACCTCCCTCCCCCCCCCAAAAAAAAATCTCAATCTTAAGACCAGCAGGAGTAAGGACCACTCCCTCTGTTGTCTGCTTGCATACCCTGATGCATGTAGCCCGGAAACCCACCCTTGAAATTCTGGAGGTAGTCCAGCCTGCCACCTGGAATCCCTCTCCACACAAATGAAGCATTCCCAGCACCCCAGCCCCAGGCGACACTGATGTTCATTCAGCCCAAACCCCCTACCCGCTTCCCCAAGGGTTACACAGCCCTTATTTCCCCTAAAAAAGGAGAGCCGAATCACTGGAAGAGTTGTGTCACTAAAGGGGCTATATCACTGGGAGAGCTGTATCACAGACAGGGATCCCTCTCCCCCACCTCTCCTACCCCTTCCAGGCACTAACTGCAGAGGTGGGATCCCTCAGACCTCACCAGCCTGGCTAAGCTTCATTTCCTTCAAATGCAGCACCTGCATGCATCGTTGCCTGGACGCGCCCATTCCCGAAGGGAAGGACTGGAGCCTGGGCTCCAGATGGACAGGGGATACTCTTGTCTTTTTAAAGTCTAATTTCAGGAGAATGGTATAATGAATATATATAATTTACTCTTTTACATTTCATAAATCTATACAATTTTTATCATTGTATCTCCCAGTGCCTCTGCCTGACACTTCCTGCTGCTCCCACCCCATCTCCCACCCACCTTCTGGTTCACCTTTTGTTGTTGTTATTAATGACGTCCCGAGTCTGTTAGTGCTTGGGTGTGTGTGTGTGTGCCCAGGGCATGAGCAATGTATAGGTAACCATATCCCTAAAGGAGAGTGACTCTTCCTCCCCCAGCACCGTCAACTGCCAAACTCACCCCCACCAAGGAGCCACACTGAGATGCTGACTGACTTGCTCTCGTGCAGGTCTCATGCAGGCAACTACAGCTGCTGCGAGCCGATGGCTCCAACAGCCATGTCATGTCCAGGAAGTCTGCCTTTCAAAAACCCCCACTCACCAGCTCTTAGATTCTTTCCACCTCCTCTGCCTCAATGTCCCCTGAGCCCTGGGCGGAAAGAGAGGAATACAGATGATCCATCCACCGCTAAGCACTCACAGCTACTTAAACTGGACACGCTGACCAATCACGAGCCTCCTCATTATTCACTAGCCATGGCAGAACAGAGCTTCTCTGGCCAAAGTTGAGAGCAGCACGAATCTATGGATTTAGAAGCAAGTTTGAAAGCATGACCCCTTAACATGACAGCAATAGTAGGTTCCCCTTTGCGGCCTGTGGCATCCCAAACCATAGACTTTTTGACCAGCACCAAGCATGAAATTCCTCCAGGTGAGCAAGTCTCACAGATGGGTTTCTTTAAACAAATGAAATTCATCGTGCGTATTGAGGTTCAGCATAATAGTCTGGAATATGTGTACGCGGTGAAATCCCACATGTGTCAGCCCACGTAGGTTATGTTCTGTGTGAGGTGTGATATGACCGGCTAAGTCTACTCAACAACCACAGAAAAATCCCTATTACAATGTAATCAACTTGGTCCTCATCATGTATGTCAAATCTCCAAACTTGTTCATCCTACCTAGCCCCCGGCATACATTATTGTAGCACTTTAAACGTATATCTTCTTATCTCCTTCCCCTTATCATTGCCCACCCCAAACAACCACTGTGTCATTTTCTATCATCATGTATTTGAGCTTTTTGAGATTTTAAAACACATGCCACAAGTAAATAGGGTCAGGTAATACTCTCTTTTTGCGTTTAATAGTCGATTATGCACACACACATATATTTGTATACCATATACATGGATATGTGTGTGTGTAGATGTGCATGAGTATCTGTCATGTGCTTAGATACATCATGTTATACATACATACATACATACATACATACATACATACATACATACAGTGCATGGATATACTGGTATATTTTATTTATCCACTCGTGTATTGATTGAGGTTTGTTTCCGTAGCTGAGTTATTTTGGCAGCTCTGCAATGAAGATCTCAGTGCAGATAGTTTTCAGAGGTGATACTTTCATGCTGAGGGTGGGGGTGCATGCCTTTAAACCCAGCACTCAGGAAACAGAGGCGGGTAGGTCCAACATAGTGAGTTCCGGGACAGCCAGGGCTATGGAGAGAAACTCTGTGGTGGAAGTTTTGGTTTCTTTAAAAACTCAGTTATGTTATGTAAATATGTTGTTTTAATCCCAAGCGTGGGATACGGAGCTGCCTTAGTTATCCACAGCTGAAATTTTCCTCCTGTGGCTTGAAGAGGAACATGGTCTTTGCCAGCTGCAGTTAGTGGAATTTGAGGACTCTGGGAGAGTATAAATACCAGACTTGGGGATGAGCCAAAGACTCTAAGAAGACTGATTCTCCCCACGATGTTGCTGGTTTGCTGTTGCTGGTTTTCTGGACTACTGGATATCCTGATGACTGAGATTGGTATTGTCCCAAAGAGCCCAATGACCCTAACCAGCCAGAAGTAGCCAAAGTAGTCCCCTCTCCCCACTAACCTTTTTCCTCTCCTATCGAGTGTTGGGGTGTTGGAAGGTATTAGGAGGGATAAGGGATAGAGAAGGAAGGTAGAGGTATAAGAAACCCCAATGAAGTAGATAGAAAAAGTGGTGGTTTCACCTCCTTTGTGTATACACCCAGGAAGGAGATTGCCAGTTCATTATTGTTTTGCACATGGAAACACGGTTTTTCCAATAACATTATAAAAGCAATATTTTCCCCATTGCATCCTTTTGTCAATGGGGGTTTTGTAATGAAGTAGAGACTGGAATGAATTTTTAATAAAAGGACAAATGCAGATTTAAAGCCAAGGGGTCAAGCGAATGTGAGGGGATGGAAAATAACTAACAGAAACTAGGGATAGAGTTTAATGGGCAGAGCACTTGCCTCTCATGCAGGAGGCCCTGGGTTCAGTCCTTGGCACTGCATAAAGCAGGCATGGTGGCTTGTACTTAAAATCCTAGTGCTTCGGGGGTAGAGGCAGAAGGATCAGGAGTCCAAAGTCATTGTTAGCTACATTTTTGAGTTCAAGGCCAGCCTGGGATGCATGAGACTGTCCCAAATTTTGAGAGGGAGGTGGGAGAAGGGCCAAGAAGAGAGAAAAGGAGAAGAAGAGGGAAGGGGGAAAGGAGGAGAGGACACTAGGAAGATGTATCAGGCATTACAGTGCTTGTTCTGCAAGCACAGGACCTGGATTTAATCTCCAGAACCACAAAAAAACCTGGAAGTGGGGTCAGCAAGATGGCTCAGCAGGCAAAGGCGTTTGCCCCAGTGGTACAAACCTGAGACCCGAGTTTCATTCTTAGGTGAAGATGAATGGCTAGAACTGACTCCCCAAAGTTGTCTTCTGACTGCCACATGCATCTATGGCATACACACACACACATACACACACATACACACACAAAAAAAATAAAATAAAATAAATAACAAAAGGCAGATGTGGTGGTCCAGGATTGAATACCAGCACTGGGGAGGCAGAAACCTACAGATCACCCAGGCTGAATGGAGTCTTAGCTCTCAGCTAAGTGGAGGTGGAGGGTGAGGCCAGCTGCAGACAAACAAGCAGATGGACGGGTGGACAGCATATTCAGATAGATGAACAGCCAAACAGGCAGGTGACAATTCGTGCTTACAGCAGGACCCAGCTGAGTGGAATCTCCTGGGACAGTGGAGAGTGCCATGCCTGGCAGTCACCTGACACACACACACACACACACACACACACACACACACACACACACACACGTGATCATGTGACAAGCTAGTGAAGCCACGAAGCGTCAGGTGTGTGTTCCCTCCTGTGTTCGGGATCTAGCACCATTTGCCCTTTTAGGAAAGAGCCACCTACTTTTGTATGGGTGGTGCCAGACACACGATGCCGTCCACCCGTCCACCCGGGTGGTAGAGTCGCCCTCGTTCTCAAAACGGAGTCAGAGCCAAGCCTGCTGGCTCGCACCTTTAATCCCAGCGCTTAGGCAGAGGCAGATGGATCTTTTCGAGTTCAGGGCCAGCCTGGCCTGCAAAGTAAGTTCCAGCCAGGGCACCATAGTGACACCCTGATTTAAAATGGGGGGAGGTGGGAGGAGGGGTCTCGACCTAAAAACTGCTTCAAAATGGGGCAAGACACAACCTTAGAAACATCACTGTTTTTCAAAATGAAAGAACTTAGAACAGGGCACAGCCTGAGCTCGAGTCCCTTGTTTTTTC